GATTCATATTTTGCTATAACTTCATCTTCTTTAAATTCAAGAAAGGGCAAAATCATCTTATGAATTTTCTTGCCAATTTCACAATTTAAATGTAATTGAGAAATATTAGTATAAAGACGCTTAGCAATTAAACATAAAACATTTCTTTGTTTTAATAACTTTAAATTTTCTCTTTGCAAATAAATACTTTCATCCCTAGCCCTAACTAACTCTGCTTCCTTCAGCTCAATCCAGATTCTCCTCTCCTCACTTTTTGAAGACACCCTGCCGAGTTGGTCAGTTGGGTTAGAATTTGCTAAGCGGGTTTGCATGAGACTACTACTTAGGTTAGAAAATTTAAAGTTTAATTCATTTAATTCTTCTTGATAATCAGTTTTTGAAATTTTAAGAGACTCAAGAATAGAATGCACCTTTTTGATCAATCTATCGCAGTCGTTGATCTTCTCACTCACTGGCTTGGCCGCAAAACACTTGTTTTCTGTCAAGTTCGGCTATGTGTCTGCACTTTCGGTTGATGGACCAGCAGTGACGATAAAGCATTTTCCACCCAAACCTTCATTCTTTGCCACATACACCTTTCCATGAGTGGGTCTTCTAACCTCTTCGTCTTCAGAGTTGGTTGACCATACTTCTACGCCACCGAACTCATCTTCCCCAACATTCTCCTATACGATTAAGGCATTCATTGAGCTGTTGGACACATTTTTCTTTTTAACTTCTTCTAATTTGCGCATATAATACGCCTCGTCGTCTTCACCCTCTCTTTTCTTAGCCATCTTTCTCAACATGCAATCTTTGGCAAAATGGTTCTTGCCGTGACTATAGTTGTAGTCGTATCCAGAGTCTCCTGCAAGCTTATTATCCTTTTTCTCTTTATCCTTTTGAGAGGAGACTTTTGGTTCATCCTTCATCTTCTTAGAACTGTAACTTCCCTGCCAGTTTCGGTTCTTGTTGGCGGGAAATTTTCTCCTTGCGAATTTCTTTGGATTTGTGATCATCAAGGCATATTCCTCACTTGTAAGCTCGCACTCTGACATGTCTGACTCTTCTTCTTCTTCAGCAGTACTTTTTCCTTTAGAAATAAGAGCCAACGATCCCATACCAGAGACCATTTTCGCTTCCTTAGTTACAACACTTTCATGGGACTTCAGTATCCCTACTAGTTTCGCCAGCGAGTACGATTTGAACTGTTCATGCGCCTTCACAGTGGAAACCACAGCCATCCATTCTGGTCTCAGCCCGTTCATGAATGTTACTTTCTTCTCGATCAGCTTCCTCTTTATCCCATGCTTGATCATCTTACTTAAGAGATGATTGAACCGATCAAAGGTCTGTACAAGCTTCTCTTCAGTTTTCTGTTCGAAAACTCCAAATTCTAATAGTAACAGAGTTTGAATGGAGTGTTCCAGATCTTCATCAGTTGAGTAAAATTCCTTCAGCCTCTCTTTAGCAGTTGTGCTTGAACCTACAAGCCGAAAGGTGTCAGATTGCAGGTCGAATCTTATCATCCGCATGGCTTTAACGTTACACAAGATCTTGTCCTTCTCATCCCGTGGCATCTTCTGAACATCTGTCACCAACTTGTTGTAATCTTTTTGCGTCTTAACAGTTGTGATTGTCTCGAAATGTACAAACGGTCCAAGAGTGATAGCTTCCCAGATGAGATAGCCATTGTCTTCCGATCCAACCACGTAATCTTCAAAGTGATGAGCCCACACTTTGTAGTCTTAAGTATAGAGTATGGTTACTCTGGTTGTTGATCCGATGCTATTTGAGATGTTAATGGGGTTCGTATGTGAATCTTCGTGAGACATGGTGAGCTGCTACAATCAAACCTGTAAACTTGAGATTAGGATTTTATCAAAAATAGAGTTGTCATCGATATGAAGATGACGGCTTCTATTTATACGATAAAAGCGGAAACCCTAAAGTATTACAAATACAGAAGGAATGTGTATCGATCACACAGTCTCCTGCTCTGATACAAATTGTTAGAACAAAGTTCTTTTAGGATCGTATGATTCTAAGCAAGATATTAAACAAGAACGTAATAAAGAACACAAGTATTGCGCTGAATATGTCGAATGATTAATGCGATAACACCTCAGAAGAGCTCGATAAAGAACTTCAATCTGTAGAGGCGTTTAGGGTTACAAGAATCAATGTAATGAATAACTTATTAATATACACATACATGCATGCATATATATATATATATATATATATATATATATATATATACTATAACCCTAACAATTAATCTAGATAACTATGTAACTAATCTAGATAGACACGGATGGACATGTCCAATCCGGATGCAAAATACTTAGCCCAAGACGCAACACAAATAGACTCAGCAAATTACATATACTTGTTTCAATATTATGCAATAACCACCAACTAATATGTTAATTCAATCCGTTACTAACATACATTATTTTTATTATACAATGTAGGTTGAACTAAAGTTGCCTGAAAAAGATGTTAAATGTTCATGTAATCACTTCATATGTACTGGCATTTTGTGTCATCATATTTTTGCTGTATTGAAAAACAACCATGTTGAAGAGATTCCAGAGCAGTATATTCTAAGAAGATGGAGAAGGGATGCAATTTCCAGCCATTTGCTTGCCATGAAACATGTTGCCATGGAAATAGAAGATGACACCTTTAAACTTCTAACAGAGGCATACATCAATATTGAATACTGCTTGGATCATTTCAAAAGAAGCAAGGAGAAATTGTTGGAATTTGTTGAAAAAAACACGTAAGTTGAAGCAGGCAACAATGGAGTTTGGCAGTTCAAACCAAACATCACCTGATAATGATGAAGAAGAAATTATTCGGATGCTCGGAATACGCAACATTCCTAATGAGATAAATATCCATCCACCTTCATCTATACGTACCAAAGGTAGTGGAACTAAGAAAAGAATGGTTAGTGCTATTGAGAAAGCTGTTGCAGCTACAAAGAAAAAAAACCAGAATGTGCACAGGTTGCAATCAATATGTTAACCATAATTGGAGGACTTGCATAGTCAGACTTGCACGAGAGTCAAAACAAGCTTAAAATGGCCCATTCGTTTGCCCAATAGATTTTACTTTCTATTAGATTATGAATAAGAATATGTTTCTACGATTTGGTATGTTATGTTATCTTAAAACACCTTCATTATTTTTAACGTTTTGTTTTATTCAACAATGAATAATAGCATTGCCAAATCTGTAATCCTAACACATTAATGATATTATCATGCATTTAAACCTCTGTTATTTGATTAAAACAGTTTGCACTTAGAATAGATATATTTTTCCTTTCTTGAAATTATAAAAAATCAATCATTATAGACCATAGTCATATACAATTCAAGCAATATTCAATATTTGAATAACAACATACTTTAAGATATAAAAGCAACAACAATCATTATAGCATATAGATATATTCATTTAAATTATTAAAAATTCTAATTGTATGGTTATAGTAATATAGCATATTAACAAATGTTTGTTAGTAAGAATCATTCCTGAATATACACTAACATTATACCAGTCATGTTAATCATCATTTTTTGATGTAATTTAATTTTTCCAATGTTAATGTAAAATTAAAACTACTAAAATATCACCATTCCATTACTAAAATTAGCAAACCAAAAGGAACTGTTGTACGTTCTGCAACCCAAGTTAATATCCTTAGCATACAAAACCAATATTTTAAAACTATCCAAAAGAAACCATCGAAGTCATAACTAAAATAACTTTTTTAACATAATTAACTAAATCATCCAATCTCCTGTGAATTTGTCCTTTGCAATGGCCAACAATTGAGAACGTTGTCTTGAAGGAATCTTGTGGAATTCATCAACCTTTTGCAACACATAATCCTTTTGCACATTATAATTATGAGTGACGATTTTGTATAAATACTTTGTCCTCAGTTTAACAAGTTGGTCATCTTATGCAGAAGACTCGTTCTTGAACCCAACTTTAAACTTATTCATACTTCAACCCATATACGTTTCCATGTGAAGCATCATAAACACACCACAATCAATGATGTTGTTTATTGTTCTCCAAGGCATTTCCAGTCTATGTGGCATCACATGTGAAAACATCTCAACTTTTGGATGAGTATGAGATTTTAAGTAATCAACTATGTACTCTTTCTGAAAAATGTAAAAAACATTGTCAACACATATAAAATTTATTAACTATGTAATGTAAATTTTATTAATCACTTACAATGATTTGGGCAACTAACCATATCTCTCATCATTAGGATCATCAACTTTGCTGTTGTCAATGATTACAAACTGTGGGTGTTGTAGATTGATCACAAAAAGGAAAATATGGAAGGAACGGATGACTGGTAGGAAAAGCTACAACGTTTATTCATTTACATGTATTCACTTTATTTAATATTCATATTTGATCAATGATAAATAAACACATAAGTAAACTGTTTAGATGTATCTCTTACCAATCCAACAAAACGTAGGCTTGTGTCCATATTTTCAATAGAGAGCACCAGATTCTCAATGAATTTATCTTTATGTTGACTTTCTGTTAAATCAATTTCAAGATAAGAATTCTATGATCCATTTTTAAAAACTCATTAGCTTATTTATATGTTGTATTTAAAAAATAGTATAATAAACATTGAACAATATTAAATTATACCGTCACATCTGTCTTGCAATAAACTCTCAGAGGCGATTCAGGTGCATGCTTACTTTCATCAAGATTCAACACTTGACTCCAATAATCAATGACATGACCAAATAGTTCACATGTTGGAAAAAAAATTCCATGTGAAACCTCTAAGCAGAAAAACCATCCAAAGTGTGGAAAACTATATCACTGCAAAAGACATGACCAATTAATACTATTTTTAATAAGCAACCAACAAAATTAAGTAATTTTAAACATATTTTAAATGCAACTTACTTTGGCTCTCCCTGGAGAGAGAATATCCATTCTGCTACACGTTTTTCTTGTCATGGAACTCCTTTGATGATATCAACAGCCCGTATAATGTAAGGAGATTTCAGATATTCAGATTTCATGCGAGGCCTGTACGCTCTTCTACTAAGCCAATGTTCATCATTGTTGAATGGTACTACAGGCAAAGGAATTAGCATTTCCATTTTAGATGGTGGTGTAGTCTTAAAAGATTTTCTTCCAGATCTATTCGCAAAGTCTGCATATTCCTATAACATCTCAATACTACAATTTGCTATCGGGGAGTTGTCAAACTGTTTGTGAGTTGTTGCTAGAATCAGCGTACGTTTAATTTCAACCGTGTTATCATACCACCATTTAGATTGTTATGGTTCCTTTGATGTAGAAACTTCATTGAACAAATCATTTACTTTGTTTTTCCATTCTTTGACCAACTGATTCTTAGAATATTTCTTGACAGCATCATTTATTTTGTCTTCCAACACTTTTTTTTTGCTGCAATAGCATGTCGTACATCTCCTTTATTGTTAAAATAATTGCCTAATTAGGTCACCACAATAGAATTACGTTACAAACCAAATAAAAACATTAATATTTCAGTAAGTATTAATTAATACTATAGTAACTAATAATTCAAATGTGAATAAGTAGTAAACTACCTCAACACTTTCCCCACTTCCACTAAAAATTTCCTCTCCTTGATTTCCCTACTAAAAGTAATACAATATTAGTTTTTGTACTATTACCTTATTATTTATTAATGATTATATTATATTAATACCTTACACCTTCTACCACTACTTTTAACACCTCCTACATCATTTCCCTGTCAATGATGTATGAATATAATTAATTTAGATTACACAAAATAACAAATTATAAATTTCATATGCATTATTCAATATAATAAAATATTACCTGAACTTTTTTTGCCCTACATTGCTAGTTCCCGATGCTTCATTGATGACTTGAAATGGTTCTTGCAATTCACCCATACCAAGACCTATTATCCTACACTCTACTCTTTCTCGCTCACGTAGTTTATCAACATTCCAAAAACATATATTGCTGGTTTGCTTCGTACAATCTTCACTGATTCGCATCAAACACTTTCTACGTATAGCAACTACAACAAAGACAAATAAAAAATGTATTAATTAAATACACTTTAATGAATCTGCACACATAAGTCTACCAATATTTAATGACAGCTGAATTTAACACAACTCTTACCAACAGTAATATAATTGGCCCAACATAGAATCCTTTTTTGCTGTTTGGATTCCATGCACTTTTTGTCTCCTTAAGATAATCAAAAACATATCCACACCAATCAATGTCACTTAGATCCAGGTCTTTCGTGACTTTTGATAACATGGATAGGTCACATGTTCCCATGCTCATCGACTGACCTAGTGTATTACACAGCAGGACGAAAATGTTTACTTTAAAGAGTAAATCCGCACATGTTGATTGCATAATAACTTGTTGAACTGCTCTTGGTCTAATATTATCTTCATCATCGAATTGTTTCCTCCAAACAGTTATCATGTCGTCTGTGACTTCTCTATAAGGCATGGACTTTATTGTAACATTTCCTAGAGGCAGACCCAACATTTCGTGAATAACTTGCTGATTAATTGGTATCTCTCGATGATGAAGATTGAGTACCATCCTATCTGCATCAAAATTTCATACAGTATAATGCCCCATAATTGATGCAGACCCATCCACTTTCATATTCAACAAATTCCCCAGACCAATAGAAGAAATATACGCTTCCTGTTCCTTGCTAAAGTTATGCATACAACTGTACAAAACATTTGGAGATGTCAGTACTTGTATTCACGTTGCTTCTTTTGCATCATTTCCTACAACTTTAGGCAGTTTCCTTGCTTTCACTACATTTCCTTCTTTATTCTTTTGTCTTTTAAATTTCTTCACATTTTCTTTGTCATCATTTTTGAATGAAGTATAATGCATTCTCTTTTTCCTTGTTACCATAGGTTTGGCATCTTCAAATTCAGAGTCTTAAACTTCATCAAGCTTCATGGCAGTAACATTATCTTTTCCTGTTAAGACATATTTAACACAATAAATGATTATAAAAAAATTACAAAAATAATACTATACTAAATTTAATTAAAAATAAATCAGTACCTGAACATGAGTTTAAAGCAACAACTTCATCACCTTTTATTTTACATCTATCAAACCGTCTTTTTGTTCTCAATTCATTTTCCCTATATATTCCATTATCTTCTGTCATGTCATAACTTTCAATCAAACCTGCCAATATGTAGACAACATAATCATAACTGAATACACTTTAATATACAACTTACATTACATGAAATCATCATTGATACCTATTTTGTTTCTGTATCTTTTTTTTTTTTTAGATTTTGAAACCTGCAGCAAACTTCTTCACATTGACTTTGGGTTTCATGTTCGTTTCTATTAATAAATATAAAACAACACAAGTTATTAAAACAAACTACAACATCAAACTCTAAATAAATTTATTTTTAAACAAATACATTACTTAAATCTGAGCTCAAAACTACAACTTTAAGATCCCTTCGCATTGAATTATCTGGTGTGCGATTAACACGTTCCCCCACACCTGTCCAAAAAATAAGAGACATAATCACTATAGATTCCAATTGATATCTAACATTTTAAATTTCATTTAATCATCATCACCACCAGTTTGTTTTTTAGTTTTCTTCTTAGGTGTTGAATGCTTCTTTTGTCCTTCTCTTCTAATCCGAGGTTGTACTATTTTGGTTCCTTGATTGTCTTCATCTTCAATATCAATAAGCAATGGATTGGATTCTTCATTAGTGAATTTTCTAAATACAGTCTTTAGTAATATGCTCTTGCTTTTCTTTCTACCAAATAGTAGAATTAAGATACCTTACTCATTTATAACTAAGAATTGAATCATTAACAACTCAAATAATCATAAATTATCCTTACTAAACACAAACTCAATCAAACACATACCCAAGAACAGAGTAATGTTTACAATAGTCATCACTTAACAAACAGTGTAAGTAACTTACTCACAAAAAACAGTATGGACTCCTACACCATTATTCTTTACTTAGTACATCATGTACATGATCAAAACCACATACATACTCAATAAAGTACACATTCACAACCGATTATGCGTTTAACAATCTACATAATATACAACCAATAACAAGGATTAATACTAGAAAAGTATTTATGTAGCACAAACAATCAGGTCTTACAAATAATCAATAGTAATGAAATTTATACCCTTCCTTATTATTTTTCTATTAAACATCATTCACAATCGAATACTAACATCAATTACTCCTCTTATCCTACTGATAATCTAATTACTTTGGCATTCAACAATACGACTCTGAAAACAAAAGCAAAAAAAAGCCCTAATTTTTGGGTTTTTGTAACCGTACTTCAGTTCAAAATAGTCGAATACGTTTCCACATGTATCTTCATCTTAAAAATTTCAAACACAATCATAAGCGATTAATTTTTAAATAAATTCAATATCAGATTACCGTAAATCCGAACTCATCTACAATTACCATTTTCATTTAAACATTCACATACACCAATGTTTTATTTGTAAAATACAACCTTTAAATCAACAATCATCAACGATTTAGAGTCACTACAGTTCATAATCGATGATATAATGAAAAAACAAAAACAACGGATTCTAGGGTTTTAAGAATCGTTAAAATGTACACATTAACAAAAAATAAACCCACTACTACACCCGTTTTCCACTCAATCGACATTCAAAAAAGATTGGAAAGCTTACTTCTTCCACTTCGGTTGATGATCGAGGACATTCCTCCACCTTCAACCCTTCTAGGAGTTTTGAATGCACAAATCTCTTTACGGATGAACAGTAGTTATCGAGTGTCATATAAATGTTTAGCTGTGATGATATTTTGCATTGTAGATACAATCGAATCCTCCAAAAGATTAGAAGTTAGCTGTGATTACTAAAACATAGGAACAGTTTCTTTTAAATGTCAAACTTACCTGATATATTCAAAATGGATAACATCATAAAATTACTTGAATACCCTTATATATATATATATATATATATATATATATATATATATATATATATATATAAACAATAAATACAAAAGCTTAACAATAATTTCAATTTAATTAATTTAATAAAAATAAAATGTTAAAAATATTTTACTCGTGGTTTCTATCGGTTGTAACCTAGTAATATATCAAGACACACACATACATACATACACACACGCACGCATAGACATAATATATATATATATATATATATATATATATATATATATATATATATATATATATATATATATACCCAACACTACATGCAACTTAACAGAACTAACCTAATTGCATACTATAAGGCAAGTATATCCTAACATACAATGAATATATACTTGAGCATGTAATATAGTGAGAAAACTCACTTGGACGATTACTCAGACAATTGATAGTTATTTGGGTGATTCTACTAGCTGGTAACACGCTTTACAAAGATTAACCTATAATACTATAACTAGTTAATCGATATGGAAATATGGTATTTAAACTAGATGCTTCGGTAATCTCAATGAATACCAAAAGTTCTATCAAATAAGGATCGGCCAGGTCAAACAGTTGGGAGGTAGGACCATTTCGACATATAACATTTCTAAAATCCAACAAATAAGTTAACGTGACCATTTTAAATACCTCTCCCATAAGTAGATCAATCATCATTATAACTGGAATTACTGACAAATCTTATTTATACATTTATAAGGAGTATGAATACCAATATAGGTTATACTTAAATCATAGTAAGCATAGCGTAACTATAGTGTGAAAGGATTTGGTGTGAGGGAAAATGAAGGAAAAATATAGTTTTTTATAGACATTTCTTCAAGAATGTGTGCTGCACACACCCTCCAGGCGTGCTGCGCACCTGGGTTGGTACATAGGGTGCCACATGTTACTTTCTTGGTGATTTGTCAGACGCGTGTCGCGGGCCTTATCTGCACGCGCATGTGTGTGCGGTTTAGCAGATTTTCAAAAATTCATAACTTCTTCATACAAGCTTCGTTTTATCATTATTTAAATCCACGTGTAGCTATCAACGAGATCTACAACTTTGGTTTAGACTCCCATGGCTAACTCTCACTACATTTTTAAATCTATACTTTTAATAGGCTTAGACTACTAAACTCCGTTTTAAAATCATAACTGTTCATATGAATTCAGTTTTCGACTGGATTTATATCGGCGAACTCCAATTAACAGAATCTACGATGCTCGTTTAGATTGTTTCTTCCTAACAATCAACCAATCTTGATTTCAGTTTCTGTGTCGTGTACTATTATACCTAAACTTCTAAAAATCACAACATCCTACATGTTTATGATGGTTCTATATATCTGCACAAATCGTATTGGCATTTCCTACATGTATCTGGACAAATTGTATTGGCATTTTCTACATGTTTATGATGGTTAATTTGCCTAAAAAGTAATATATCTCTACTTCAAATTTTTATAAACGATGATTTTTATTGAAGACTACTGGAAATGTGAAAACAGGCGTTACAAGCAACTCCATGCACATCCTCCAAATGGTGTAGTTCATCGATGTTAAAGTTACGAATAACAACGTTAACAAAGTGTGTTCCTTAGCTGATGGTTGTGATGAACCTCTATCCCCTATCATCTTCACACGGATAGAAAAGAAAACTGATTTGGTTCTGCTTCAAACACAAGCAAACACAAATCAAACACTGATGGTCGATTGATTTGGTTTTCCCTTTTTTTTTTATCATGTTTTCCCACATGAATTCCTTCTCTAATCGCAGGATAAATTTCAAAGTCTTTCATTGTTCATAAATCATTGTTTGATTTAATTTCAATGTTCAAAATCACTGTTGGATCTAGGCAGTCATTTTGACTCAATTTGCAAAATAGAAATTGATGAACTGTAAAACAAATATGTTACTGATTTTTTATCTTCATAGGGACAAGAAACATATGACAGTAAATGGTCCTACTTTAAACACAAGCAAAAATAGAAAGATAAAAGTTGTTTCTATAAAAAAAAAAACTAGATAATGTTATTGATGTTGCTCTGATATAGGTTCAGCTTCTGACACACAACTCTTATGACATAGCTCCTTCTGCACTGGATAACTTTTTTTCTTCTGGTTTGGCTTCCTGGTGTCGCTTCACCCAAAAGGCGAAGACGAAGTAACCAAGACAGAAAGCAAATTACTTTATGCCAAAATAGCATATTCAAATAGAAATCATGAATCATCGAGATGGAGAGGTCGTGGTTCAAGTTATCGAGGAAGAGGACGTAGCTGTGGACATGGTCGGGGTAACACACAAGCTCATGGTCAATCAAAATCCTTTAAAAATCGTGATGACCAAAAGTAAAAGGGAAAACAACATGAGCAAAGAAATCTCTCAAACATCTAATGTTACAGGTGTGACAACTATGGAAATTTCGCTTCAAGATGTCTGGATCAAACCAAAAATCATGAGGAAAACCTTAATGAGACACACGAAGGAGATATGAATCAGGAAGAAGGGACATTA